ATCTAAAGAAATATTATTTTTGAGTATTATCTCCCTCAGTGCTCACCAACGACAAAGATAAAGGGTAAGGCCCTGGGGACAGAGTTCAAGGACTCCTGCCCCCGAAGCAAACACATGAGCAAGCCTCCTAGAAGGGCAAGACCCTGGGGACAGAGTTCAAGGACTCCTGCCCCCGGAGCAAACACAGGAGCAAGCTCCTGGAAAGGCAAGGTCCTGGGGACAGAGTTCGAGGACTCTTGCCCCCGAAACAAACACAAGAGCAAGCCTCTTGAATGGGCAAGGCCCTAAAGACAATTCTAGGACTCCTACGCAAAAAAAAAAAAAAAAGTGTACGCAAGAAAGAATAAGTACTCCAAAAAAAAAGAGAGAGCTTTATTTCAAAAAAAAAAGGGGGGGGGGCTTTGCGTCCCCAAGAGCTACAAGAGAAAAAAAAGTACAATCGAAAAGAAAAAGAGCTTTCATCTGGCCCCGGACATCTCTAAAACATCGCCCGAGGGCGAATCAGCATAGAAAGGTTGAGCATCTTCAGGGGCAGGCAGAGTGGAAGGTACTTTGACAACAGAGGGAGCCTGAGGAATAATATGGTTAGGGGCCCGGTCCGACAGGGCCTCATCAGACAAATCCACAATTATCGTCTCGGGCGGATCAGCCGAAACTTGCACCGGCTTTGGAATCATGCCCTCGGCAGCAATCTCGGCTTCGGCCTGTTCCATCTCCACCGAGGGCACGTATTTGTGCATCTGGAAGAGTGAGGAGTCTGATGGGATCCCAGCAGACTGGAGCGCCTCGTCCTACCCCTTCTTGAAGAACTCCTTGCTATTTTCTTCAAGAGCGGGGAGTATGTCATCGGCGAACTTTTCTCAGAGTTGCTCCTCGGACTTCCTGTTCTGTGCCTCAGTCCTGATCCTGTCCAGCTCCTGGGTCAGAGCCAGACAGCTTTCCTCTGAACCAACAGCCCTCTCCTCTGCCACAGAGAGCTGTTGCCTCTGCTCTGTAATCCTCCGCTCAGCGTTGGCAAGGGCAGCATTTAGTTTTTCAGCGTCGACCTTCGCCAACTCGGTGTCCTTGAGGAGTTGCTCAATTTGAGTAGCCTGCCCTGCGCGAGTGGAATCCCTAGCAGCTACGTCCTCCTTAGCACTGGCGAGGGCTCCCTCGGCTTCTTCCTTTTGCTCTCGAATTCGCTGAAGGTCCATCCTAGCCCCATGATACCACGCCGCTATTATAGAAATCTGTTGGGTGGCCTGCAAAGGAAAGGGCATGTCACTAAAAAGAAAAGCGGCTTAAAAAATAGGGTTGAAGCAAAGATGAACTTACCACCAGGGAATTCTGGATGATAGAGCGAAACAACATGTTCGTTGATCGCCCCCTATGAGCCACCATGTCGGCCTCAAAATGCAGCGCCTCACTCATTGCATTGGCGACATGGGGGTCCTGCAAAATGGAGTCGTCGACCCTGATCACTCGGTTCATGTGATTAGTGACTCGAGGATTCCACTCCGTGGCTTCCACTGTCTGCGAAAGGGGAGGAGGAGTCTGTTGTTGCCGCTGTTGCTGTTGTTACTGTTGTTGCTGTTGTTGCTATTGTTGCTGAGGAGCAGGAGGTAACCCACGGCCTCTCCCACTTTGCTGCTGAGCGGAGGGGGCCCTGGATCCACTGCCAAGGCCGTCGTGCCTATGTTTGACCCTTCTCTCCTCCTCTACCTAAGGATCTCGGTCACGCACTTGACTCTGACTGACGACTCTTGAGGATCGGGTGGCGCTGGTCCCTGCAGATAGGGCCCCACCGATCGATCCTCGTCCCCTCCCGGCAGCGGGGGCTTGCCTCTGCCTCAGGAACCCTAGATCAATGCGGGGCGTGCTGGACATAGCTATCTCGAGGGCGTCCTCGGCGTCTAGAGATTGTAGGATTTGGAAGTCTGGCCACGAATCTCTCCCCGAAGTTCCCACCTCTACGTGCAAAGGAACCGAGTCCTCTCTGATCCCGAGCTCTTCAACTTCACCCTCTACTTTTGCCTCCGAAGCCCGGTCAGGATCTTCTTCCAAGTTCTCCTCGACCTCTTGCCCCACTGCCTGATCGAAAAGTTCAGACCACCGCGAAGGCTCGAAAGGCTGGGAAAGCTGTGAAAATTTTTTATATCCGGGAGTGTAATTCAAGAGGATGTGGACAGCCCGGCCGAACCCGTCGTCACCAGTAAATCTCCAAACTGTGGCTAGGTCGGCAAAGTTCACCAACGACCGAGGGGGAGGAGCTGTTTCCCGAGTAGGGACATCTGCACAAACAAAAAAGAGGAGAGTCATGAACATGGAAAATCTCAAGAACAAAATAATAGATCCAAAGGAACCGACGTACTTGTCGTTCTCCATTCCAAAGGACATAACAAGCCGTTATACTCGGGACCGACACCTCTCTGCCAGGATCCCTTGAAGATAAGTAGGTCGTCCTTGTACCTCTTGTCCGAGTCGGGAAGATGAGTTACGAGGTACATAGATGGATCCCTGGCTTTGAGATCGAAGTGTTGTTGAGGCATGACTCTCAAGAGGGAATAGCAAAAAAGGAGATCGTTCAGCCCAACATTTACCCCGAGATCCCTATTGAGCTCTAAGACTCCCATAATTATCCTAAAAACATTAAGGCAACACCGCCCGGGGAAGAGGTGGAAATGGGAAAGGAACTGGAGAAGTAGAGGGGGCAAAGGGAACCTAATTCCGCCCTCTATGATGGCTTTGGTATAAAAGGGCATTGCATCCTCGGCCTCGAAGGTACGAGAGTGCACAGCCGAGTTATAATCCTCTATGTCTACGTGCGGGGGGATGTTGTACTTGACCCTAAACCTATTAATTTGTTCACCACCTTTTACTTTATACTTCCCTGACCCCGAAGAACTGGCCTGAGGATTCTCGGGGGCAGGGCGACGACGAGGCATCTCGAAGAAAGTTAGAAAAAGTGAAGGAGGGTGTTTTTCCCTCAAAGATCCCCAAGGAAGCTTCCCGAGGATTGGTCGCTAAGTGGTAACCAGAGACACCTCCAGTTATCGAAAAACCAAAAGGGACAGAAGGACGAAGAGAGGAAAGATACTAGAACTCACCAGAATGTAAAACGGAGTTTTTTCTAGAAAACTTGAGGTGACTCCTTCCAGAATGTTCAGAAGCAACGATGGGTCTGTTGGCCTTAAGACTTCAGGGAAAATATTGGGCAGTTGGCAACGGAAGGAAAGAGATCTCCGGCGAAGATTCAGGCAAGGGCTGTCTTGAGAAAGTTCGGAATGACAAAATGAGAAAATGGGAGAGGAAGTCCATTTATATAGTACCAATCTCATCATTGGGCGCGAAGCACGAAAAGACGCATTTAATGCGCACGACGTCCTAAACTGGGGAAAACAACTAAACGCAATGATGAAGCAGTTGGGGTTGTTGTAAAACCCTTCGTCTCCTTACGACGCGTGTCCTCGGCGTCAGAAGATCGAAGGCTGGGGGGCAGTTGATAGGACATTTCCGAAATACTCCAAGATGAAGACACATGTCCTCGGTGTCACTAAATCCTGTTACTGAGATCACGTACCATCGGTTCACAAGTCCCTCTCCCCCGAGGTACTTTGTCACAGGAATCAAGTGGCATCCAGTACGTTTACGAACCGACACGTATCCCTCGGTCTGATATGGGTATGTCGGTCGCTATATACACCTCCCCTCGGCTCCAAGATGAACTTACCCCTCGGGTCCGAGATGTACCTCCGTCCAGGATGGCGTTCTCTACTCCTACAGAGGTTATTGATGTACAGGTCACTAGCTTAGGCTAGGTTAGGTTAGCTATCATGACCTCGTCTTACACAATTGGTGTCAGAAGGCACAGGAAGGCAAGGGCCACGGCCAATGGGGAATGGACGCGTAGCATATTGTGTCACATTAGAGACAGAAAGACCGCATGCCCTTGCTGACACACGACTTGGGAAAGCAAGCATTTAATTACACCATCCCCTTGATGAGACTGTATTCAATGCGATAAAGCTCGAAAATGAAAGGCAATAAATATCTCTAAAGCTGGACATTTATTGCATCCTCCCCGAGAGGAGTTCATTGAACAGTCGGCAGCCCGATGACACAGCATTGATTGCTCGGGATCCCGAGCAGTTAAAAGAGAAGACATTCCTCATCGGAATCAGTGCGCACATTGCCTGTACCTAATAATCACCTACTGAACACACTGACAACAATCATGAGTATTTGAGGTATAAATACTCCTCGCAAAAGGCAAGGTGGGAGGCAACAAAAAACCTTTACGACAATACATACTCAGTGTTTTCTTCTTCCTCTCTCTCAAAAACTGACTTGACCGTCAGAGGGGATACGCCGAAAAATACTCCGGCGCCCTTCTAACTTGTCTTTCTTTGTTCCAGGAATCTTCCTTAGCCTTACTGGATCGTTCCGTTGATCCACGAGAGTCTCCCATTATCGTTCCAGGTTACCACCGGACCTCGCAGGCTGTTCCAAGCAGCAGGGTCGATCATTCGACTGACTCACTCGATTTCACCAAGAGAGAGATCTGTTCTCGTGTTTATATTGTGTAAGATTCAGCACGCTCATGTAACAAGGAAACGAGGTGCGTATGCGGCTGTGGCTAGAGATCATACAGGCCAGATTATTACTGCTTCATCAGAAAAGATGTGTGTTGCCTCTGCATTGGCTTATGAAGCCTGGGCCATCTGGAAGGTTGCTCATCTAACCAATTGTGGGTGTCTTCCTGTTGACCGGTTTTTGAATCCTCCGTTTCATGTGCTGCAACAGATCTAGCAAGATGTCGTGTAGGCATAGGTTAGTTCCTGTTGCTTATTTTTTGTTGTAAGTATTTTTTGTAAGCCTATTTTTTGAATGACCAAAAAAATAATAATAATAATAATAATATCGGATATACTAGCCATCAACTATTTTGTACCTCAATGATTATCGAGCAAACCCAAATTAATGATAAACTTCTTTAAATATCAGGTCTGGTCATATTTCCAGGCTCAAATGCTAAAAGAACATACTGCGAAGAACAAGACAGAGAAGCAAATGGCTATTGATACAAACAGCATTCAATTTTCCTGTAATACAATACCTTTACTTTCCAGGCAAGTGTTTATACCCAACTATACAAGTACTAGTGCATGATAATCCCATACTGGAGAAGAACTTGTCCAACCCGCTTATTTATCACCTCTACGACTTGGTGCATCAAGGGCAACTCGAAAATCTGAGTCCCTAAAAGCATGAAAATGGTGTAGCTTTACCAGATGAGTATCAATTTTGTAAAAAGTAATGGTCTGTCCGTCTTTCTGGTAGACCTATAAACAATTCTGTCTCTACAGCAAAAGTTTGCCCCTCCTTGGGTGCTTCTTGCTGTGTAATTGATTGTTGCGGCGGCTGTACCTCAAGCTGAAAATAAGCACTTGTGTTCAAAAATTATATGTACTCACATTCAAACAAAAAAGAAAAACAATAAGCAATGGACTTTTGAATTTTGATTCTCTTCAATACATATCCTCTTAATTTCCCTATTACCCGTCGTGAATTCAAGTAGAACCCGCCATAATATAAATGAGTTTCTATACACGATGAATGATCTATATCTACCGTATCATTAAAACAAATGTTTATATGTTTGAAGCCCAGAACCATGTGTATGTCTATAATTAAAGAATTAAATTTCGTTTCGAAACATTTTTATCTCTATAAAAGCAAAAACGAATCATTAATTTAATATCAAAATTTCAGTGTTTCGATGTGTTTCAGCATGTTTCGATCAATGTTCTGGAAATAAATTTTTAATATTTTTCTTTGTTTCTGAAATTTTTTCAAAATATTACCGAAAATTTTTGTTTCCAAACTCGCCAAAACTATGCGAGACTAAATTTTGATTGTTGTCTATAACAGGTAAGTAGATCAAACAAGAAAATAATAGCCCACACCTTCCTCAATTCTGCAATTTCTTTTGCTAGCTTTCTTTCCTGAATTATGCCAGGAAAAGGTAACAGGACTTTAGCATGTATTCATGTTTGCATATTTATGTACACTTTATATCACAGAGTTTACCTTTACCTTCAGCTGCTCAATCTTCTCCTTGAATAACTGATTCTGAGGAGATTAAACAGCATCGACTGTTAGTTTCGTCGTTCATCTTATTATTATAAATTGTGTATGCAAACTTGTATGTGATTGATGTACCTTTCTTGCCCTAATGCTACTTAAACTTTGTTCCAGCTGGTCTTCTATGTTTTGTAGGTCATCAATAGAGCGAGACTCCAAGCCATCTCCTAACAAGTTTCTGCAGTATGGGAGTTTTTAGAATTAAAATTTTCCAATCAGGTGTCAGTTTGATTGGAATGTAAAACTAAGAATGAGTTTGAATATATCACAGATCTGAATTCTGAACCTTTTATAGTCTTCAAGAAGCTCAATCTTCTTGGTCATGGTAGCAGCCTCTTCCTTGAAATGCTGCATGTGGAATTGTACAGATGAGATTTACAAAGATAAACTTGAAATGTTATTTTCACGGTTTAAGGCGCAATATTAGCCATTGACTCAGAGGGCCTTGAGATATATTGGTCGCCGGGTCATGTCTTGGTATTGGTTTATACGAAGAAGTTTAACATGCCAAGAAATTTAGGTCATATCGTAATTGAACAAAACAAGAAATTCAGGTAATATCCAGGTATTACAGAATACTATCAGTCCATTATTTGACGATAACTCAGTGAATCAAGATAAAGGAGACGACAACTTGGACAACTCGGCCGCCGTGCATGCATCTAGGTTTATAGATAATGTATAATGGTATCGACTTGGTCAACTTAATAATGGCCGATAATTTGAACGTTTGTTGTCCATAGTCAACTCAATATAATCTTATTTAAACTTTTTGGGAAAATAATGTGTGTGTGTGTGTTTTTAAAGATATATATGAATTTTTTGAAGAACATCCTTTTACTCCACATCCAGAGGGGAGTGAAGTGTCTAATACATATTAACAACTAAGGAAACAAGAACTGTGAGACAAAAAAGAAAGCAATGCTGACCTGCATAGTTTCTTCAACTGCAATTTTGGCAACTCCTAGGTTCTTGGCATTCTTCTGATAGCGTTCTATTGTCTTCTTGATACTGGAACATCTCCACAAAACCACAAGAGGGCAAAAATTAATGATAACATTTCTATTTTGGGAAGGTAAATTACTTGTATTGATGTATGATGTAGAAGGGCATAGCACTTGCAAAAACACAACATTTCAACTAGTTGAACTTACGTATGCACTTTGATGGCTTTAAGCTCTGCTCAGAAATAAGGTGTCTTTTTTTTATATAGTATAATCCAAATCCAAATTCTAAGTTCTTTTAACAGCACAAGTCCCACAAAAAAGTCATATAAAAAATTTAAAAAAAAAATTTAAAGCGCTATTTGGTAGAGTGGAAAAATGGGTGGAAGAAAACTAAGATGAAAAGAAAATGTTTTCACTGTTTGTTTGAGAAGAAAAATATGATGGAAGAGAAAGTTAGAAGGAATCTCTTTCCTCTTAACTCACAAAAACTTTTTCATCCAAATTCTCTAGAAAAAAAAAAAGAGAGAAAGAGAAAGTTTAAGCTATTCATGGTGACTTTATTTTTTTGCCCTTTATTTATTTCTCATCTATGAAACACATGCATGAAAGTTTCAAAAAGGAAGAAGACAACTTGCAGAGAAGCTAGTCCAGTAAACATGCTACTGTCTAGTTGAATCCCAATGACCCCCACCCACTCTCTCTCTAATTTAACAAACCCACACAATAAATTGTGACAAAAAAAATGATTTGTTAAAAAAAATAACGAAGCACGTTATTTCGATATAGCAAATTTATCTGCTACATTTATTTCAAAAAGTTTACTTGCTATATAAAATTTGCTTTTTATATGTAAGGGTATAATGGTAAATTAAGTATGTACATATTTTCTTTCCTTTCATTTTTCTTTTCATATCAAACAATAAAAAATTAATTTCTCCAACTTTTCATCCATCATACTAAACAAAAAGAAGAGAAAGAGTTTTTCATTCCTCAAAGAATGGAAAGTTTATCTCTTCTATTTGTCCATCCTCTAACTTTTCATCCGTTCTATCAAATAAACCATATTTCTGACTCCAAAAGTCAATTTACTGGAACATTTGATAAATAAAAAAATATCAATTGTCAAATCATTGTGCAACTCCTCTTTTTAAAACAAAAGGAATGCTATTTAGACATGTAAATTTGACCTCATGACGTGATAGTTGACATATCTCAATAACATTTCTCTTATTACAAGCTGGAGTTTTTATTAAGACAATATCTCTTTCTATATCATTAGATTGTACATCGCAGTCCTACAATATTATATTTTTTCGGAAAGCATGTTTTTTGTATATATAGAGAGAGAGAGACACAGAGAGAGAGAGAGAGATATTACTTAAATAATATATTTTTTAATTGAGGTACTAAATGTTTATGAACATTAGCTTATTTCCCAATTATATGCATTGCTTACTATATATTATTTATAACAAATTCTTAACATTGAGAACTGATAAAATCTTACTTAAGATTGATTACTTATAAGAAAGATTGAGTAAACTAATCATATGATTCTATTATAAATAATATGTAATAAAATTTTAATACAAAACCTTTAGTATTTTGCATCTTAAAAAGCATGAAAAATAAATTTTAGTAAAAAAATATAAGTAGCCTCACGTAGAATTGTTACTTTAAACTTCAAATTTTTTCAAGCCGACCCCGTCATCCCTACATGCATTTTGTGCGTTTCTCATTGTTATCTTCACGTAAGAACACACAATGCACACATAATGCAGCTAGCACAACAAACTAAGGACTTCAAGATGTTATTATTATCATGAAATCAACATTGAATAGAACATTGAAAGAGACTGCAGATTTTGCTTTGGTCATTTGATACAGTTAATGCCTAATTTTCCTCTTTTGTTTTGTTTTCTGCTCAAACTTTTCTTGTTTTCTCCCTGCAGGCCCCCCTCCACATGATTTTGGAACTAATGTAAACAATTTTCCAGCTTTGTCAGAAGAGGATGAAGCAAATGTCCGAATGTATTCACAGGTGAATTGGATTCAAGTTCAACCATTACACAATATTAGTAAATGAAGATGTTCATTTTCAAACCGAAGATACTAAGAAGAGAGAAAAAGAAGATGCCCATTCTATATATATCCTAATAACGGACCATAGGAATGATACCAAAATTGAGTGAAAATAGCCCAATTTCAGGTTGAGCAGTGAAGTGGAAACTTGAAAATATAGCTCACTTCTTACTGGGAAAAAATCACTGGAATTGCCCTTATTGGACCGAATAAGAAGAGAAGAATTTCAGTTATTTCAACAATATTGGGTTTTCCACCTTAAAGCATCTTTAGCAAAAAACTCTGTAAAATTTATCTATTTTCTTCATCTTTCTCGTAATTGCTATAAAACATAACTCGTTGGAAAGCAAACCCAGCATGGTTCGAGACAAAATAGCTAGGAAGACGAAAATGTAGACAAGGGCAGGGTAGGGTAGGGTGACTAGGGTCCATTTCTTTCAATTGAAGTAGAAGTATATAAATGAAAAGGTGAAAGTGGGAAGGGGTGAGAATCAAAATATCTAGAAGCACAACCTCCCCTTGAATTTTCTCATGAAACAGTCAAGATCATGCTTTGGGTTGTGATAATTTACTTATATGTTCTGATTAGTTGGTTGATAAACAATAACCCCTATGTTATTATCAAGAAAGAATCTCAAAATCTACATTCCATGCTTGCTGTCACAGACTCCAAAATTAAACCACTTTTCTTTTTCTTTTTTTTTTTGGAGATAATCTGCTAAGATCAATGAAAGAACGGTCAAATATCAAGGGAACTCATTAAAAACATATCAATGGTACGATATGATTAAACAAAGAAAAAAAGCTAGAGACACAGGACCAATTTGTACAGCTAAAAGCCTGAGATCATTGTACTGCTGGGTCATCTCGTGTGGTACAATGGAAACAATAGACTCTTCAGGGACCCATTTCTTTAATATGCTGTTTACTTGACATAAAAATGGAAGAAAAGTGTTTATGGGTAATGATCTGAAGTTGAAGGTGAAAGATATTATAAGTACATACCTGGAACTTGAGAACTCATAGAGCTTCCCATTCGAAGAGAAGATGATGAGTGCAACTTCGGCATCACAAAGAACTGATAGCTCAAAAGCCTTCTTAAGAAGCCCATTTCTGCGCTTTGAGAAGGTCACTTGCCTATTTGTTGTCTTCTCTATCCTTTTCAGCTGAGTTTTCCCTCTCACCATTCTTACACCTGATCAAACCAAGAAAAGAAAGAAAATAACAAAGACCCAGCAAAGAAAATAATGGATTTTGTGAGTGTCTTCAAGACTGAGTGTACCAAAACACATCCCAATTGAAAAAAAAAAGAAGAAAAACACAAAACTTTCCAAAAATAGAAAGGAGTCCAGGGATTAAGGTTGATTTCTCTAACCTACAGGAGGGCAATCCACAAAAGCTTTTCTGGGTGTGGCAGATCTGAAAGGTGGGAAAGAGTGAAGAAAGAGAAGGAAAGGTTATTTGGGTGGGTAGGAAGAAAAGCATAAGAAACCCTAGAATCCGGAGGAGGATAGGGGGCAGATAATTGATTTTCCTATTGCTTTTGTTTTAAATTCCTTCTGTTTGAACCATATGCAGAACATAAATGATTATGGAAAGACCAAAACCACATCTTTTTCTTTTTTGGGTAACACTCACAAGACAAGTCGCACTAAAATAGACATCAAAATAATGATATAAAGACCAAACACAGTTACATTCAAAGCAAATATAATTATTTAATTTATCACAGGCAATGGAACCCCGCAAGGCACATAAAATCCATGCTACCCACTTTGTTTTTTTTTTTTTTTAAAAAGGCGCTCCGATCAAAGACAGACCATCTACGTCAAGATAGAATATTCATGAAAAATAAATTTTTCATAACCTGACCTCAAAAAATTGTCAAATTTTGAAATCAATAGTTAAAATATTTGAATTTATAACTCATTCTTATTATCACTTAAGTTATCCTTGAAATTCATGCTACCCACTTTGTTATTATGCAAACCTTTGTTTGTCTCACCTGGTTATACTTACTAATTTTTGGCAGCATTAATCATTTTTTTGAGATAAAATTTATTATTTTTTAAGTTTTTTTTTTTTACTTTTTTTATACTATAATTTTTCCAATAATGTTTTCATAACTTTAATGACCATAAATTTAACCTGCATGGGTAACTCGAGTGTAGTGTTGAATGTGGATGAAGCTGTAAATTTGATTGAGTTTAAAATGACCTAACTCTAAAGAGATTCCTAGTTAATTTTTAAAAAAAAACCATAAATAGAATACTTTATCTGCCAAAATTGGGAAAATCTCACAGCAGATTCCTGTCGGTTGTTATTTTTGTCGATGGTGGTTGCACGTAAAGTTCACGCACTACCCGGTGACGCCAGAGTTTAAAATGAATTGTCCGTACAAGGTTTTACTCGCCTGTCAGTACGATAAAAGCAAGCCATCAGCCAATTGTGTTTCGCCAACGCACCAATTAGCAGACCTGACCTGCTTCATGCTGTCGTCCTTGTGCAGCCCAATTAGACTTTCCTTTTCAATCTGTTTAATTATTTAAATAAATTAATGAATTAATTATAAAATATCCAATTCAAATTTAAATCACATTACAATCAACTCTCGCATGTTTCAATTAAACACGGAAGATCATGAATTAAAATTCTCCCAATTTATTACAATTTTATTCAATTTCATATAATCACGTGATGAAGAAACAAAGTCTTTTTTTTATATATAATAATTTGTGAGAGGTTTTTTAAAATATTTTTCTAAATTTCCTACTACGTGGTGTAAAATGCTTGCAAATAAACATAAAAAAACAACATTCACTTAAACGTTGTCTTCCTCTTCCAAGCTTGATTTGCAAAATTATTAAATGCTCTGTTTGGTAATATAAAAAAAATAAAATAATAAAAAGTTAAAAAAATAGATAAAACAACATATTTGTTAAAAAAAGAAAATAGAAATAATAGAAAAGTTGATTGATGAGTTTTTCTTCAAATTCTTTAAAATCGGAAGAAAAGTGGATAAAAAGTTAATTATTTGTATTGAAATGTATCTTATTTTTTTATATATCATTTGATATATACATATATTATATATACATCAATTTCATATATAAATGTAATAATAAAATATACATTTATATTTTTTTAAAAAAAATTTAAAAATAAGGATTTAAAAAAATAAAATTTAAAAATACTTTAAAAAAATTCCATCTTACCAAATATGAAAAAAATTAATCATTTTTATTTTTCATCTATTCTACCAAACATAAAAGAAGTAAAGTGTATAATTTCTACTTTCCTTTCTTTAAGGATAGAAAATGTATCTCTCATATTTTTTGTCCATCCTACTTTCCATCCTTTCTAACAAACAAAGCATTAAGGAAAGTGTTAAAATGAGGCATTGTCAGAATTTATTTGTTATGAAATTAATTTATAATTAAAAAATTATTTTAAATTTATTTTTATTATTTTCTATGATGTAAAATTAGCAATTAAAAAGAATAATTTCATTAGAGATGAATCATATTAATAAAAATATTAAAAAATAAATTGTCAACCAAATACCTTTTCAACTCAATCCGAAGCTAATAAAATAGATATAAGTAGAGATAGAGAGGTTGGGCCCTAATTTTATTCTGGGCTTTCTATCAATTTGTATGAGATTGGACCTTTTAAGTCAAAATATTTTAGCCCAATTTAAATTGTAAATAAGGACCATACTTAATTTTTTTGGGGCCCTCGGCGGTTGCTTTAATGGCCTGTCATGTGGGTGGCCCCCCGTTGGGGTTGGGTTTTTTTTGGTTTAGGGTGCGGGGTGTTTGTTAGGGGAAGGGGTTTCCGCGTGGAGGGCTGATCAGAAAGGATAAATGACCTATAGGAAGGGGATTGGAGGATGGGGGTATGGAGCGAATTTTAATCCGAATCCAGGTTCATTTAATCGGATATAAATTAATATTTTAATATGTTTATCTAAATTTGATTAAATTCCTTTAAATGAATATGGATTTGGAAACATATATATATACACACACACATATTAAGTTAGATTTATAAATGAGATTGACATAAAATTAAACATAAATTATTGAATAGAATGATTAGTTGATTAAATTAGCTTGAAAGTTAACTTAAATTTAATAAAATTATTAATTTTTGTAAGAAATTATGTTAAGATTCAATTTTTTAGATTGGATCAAGTAATCAGACCGGATATCTGATTATTAACGGATACGGATATGAATTAAGATTTTGAAATCCATCGAATAAACTGATTGGATTCGAAATCGAATTTTTTATTAGATTTGAATCTGGATAGATTCAAATTCGATCCGTTGATAACCTTACTGGGTGGTTGGCTCTCTCTCACTCTCTCATGCTCTCCTTTCTTTTGATTTAGCAAATTTTGACCAAAATTTAGAAAAAGACAAAGGGTACCACAGTTGTGAAACGTTTCATAAACCCATGTTGTGGTCAAATAAAAAATGCTCCAATTTTGAAACGTTTTCTGCATGTGTGTGTGTTGGGAGGTGGGAAGAGGGGGGGGGGGGTTTGCTAGTACTTTAGAGATGAAGAGACATCAAAGGCCAATGTTTCTGGTTCAGGAGAATCTTCTAAGCTAAGCATGAAGAGACATCAAAGCCAACAAAATTTGAAGATACCAACCAAATGTTATTAATTAGGAAGTTGCATGTCTTGGTAGCACTTTCCACGTTTGAAAAAAAAAATATTTGGTATAATTGTTACACCATGTCAATAATATCACGGAATATAATAATTTATTAATATGTAAACCAATCAGCAAATGAGTTTCATTAAAATTCATAACCACCCAACTATTTCATATATAATCATCTCTATGATTAGGAAGTGAGTTATATATATATTTTTTTATTAA